GCTTTCTGCTTTGGCAATATATATAGGTACCAAATGTTTGAAAAAATTCTTAAACCAGTATGACATCATATGTTCTTATAAGATCAATCTAGGTTATATGATTTATGTGCTGAATATTTGCCCCTGTGTGTACTAATGAAAGGGGCACATGTATCTTCTCATTTTATACCATAAACATATGATTAATCTGGTGGTTGTTCAATTGTGTTGTTCTTCCCAAATATGTTTAGCTAATCATGCATCCTGATAATTTTTTATATTTTTAATTTTTTTGGGTTGTTTTCTATTTTCCAATTGTTTTTGTCAATTCCTATTCTAACTAGTTATTTACTCTATGGTTCAAAAGATCTGATTTTAGGATTTATTGGTGTTTTACCCTATTTTAAAATAATATCATAATTAAAAAAAATTGTCATAATTAAAAAAAAAAAATATATATATATATATATAACTAAAGGTACATATAATAGTTGAGTGTAGAATAAAATTCTCCTAAAAAGTTTCACTTCTTCTCACTTGTGTCTCCTTTATGAAGTAAATATTTTCAATTTATCACTTCACCCAAAATCCTTAATGCAAATGTACATTAATTGGGATAAGGAGTGAATGAGATGTCAAAGCTTTGGTTATGGTTTTCCCTTGGGAAGAAGTAATTGAACCCCTCAAGAATTGAAAAAAATTTCAGTTAGTCTCAGACAACATGACAATTCTCTTACCAATCACTAAATATTATTTTCTTATTGTTCTGCCATTATTCAATACCAAATTGTGAGTCTGACTTCTTACACCAATTACAATACTTATGGACACCATCTAATCAAGCTTAGGGCCACCAAATAACTTATCAAAGAATTACCCTTCCTATCACAGAGTACATTCATTGATATCTTCCTTCAATGATTCTCATAGATCTAAAGGACACTTTGGTAACTTAATATATATTAGAAAATTTTGAAAAATCCCTTAAAAAAATAAATAAATAAAACATTTGAGTAAATGTTGGATGGATGCAAAATTTAAGGCATTGGATTTTCTATTTGGATCTCGCCCATCCACCTCAACATCAAGCTAAAGAAATCCAAATCCACGTACTTCAAGAATACTAGGCAAAATGCCTTTTAAAGGTACACAAAAAATTTTAAGGAGTGGGTCTAGTGGCTTGAGATTTGGAGTTGTGGGATCTGTTTCCTATATGTTTTAGGTTTGATTTGCCCAATCAACATAAAATTCTTGAGGTGACGGACTACAGAAAAATTTATTTTAAAAGGTTTCGTGTTTCAAAAGATTTGTTTAAATTGTAAGAATTTAGTTTGATGTGTGAAAACTAGTGTAATAAAAAAAAAGTATATAGAAAAGTACAATTTTAATCTTGCCTAACTAATTTAGCTAAGTGTACACTTCAACCATACTCTTTATTTTATTTTTAATCAATCAAACTATCTGTAACTAATTTTTAAAAGAAAAATAGTATAAACATAAATAAAAGATATTATTTTTTGATAATATGTTGTTTATGCACCTAGTGTTGACGTGACATTTACAAAAAATTATTTATTTTTTAAATATATAATTAAATTATTTTTTAAGATAATATTCTTACACAATCATATTTTTAAAAATAACAATGGGTTAGAACAAGCAAAAATATAACAAAGATTAATGGAGCAAGAATAGATTGAAGTCTCAAAACAGAAGAAAAATTATTTTGCCTAGCAATGGAAGCTAGCTACATGTAGAGGTCGAAAATGAGAATGGACAAATTGGCTTTTGTAATGCAGAACTTGTTGGAGGAAGAAAAAATCAACTTCACTAGCAAAAATGTCTCATGTGGTCCTTTTACCTCCTCCTTTGAAGATGCTCTTATGCTCACACGGTTTTTTTTCTTTTGTTTGTTTTTGTTTTTTCAGATTTTGAGTCTCATAATACGAGAAAGGATATATCAAATAATTAATGTGAATTTAGGATTCGATGTGGGTTAATTTTTTTATTTTTTAATTATTTTAACTTGGGGTTAAAATAGCCTCGTTTAAGATGGACTTTTTGATTTTTTTTTATTTTTGTGAGAAAAATAATGTAATGATTATAGTTTGAATATGAAATTTTTTAATCTGGGACTAATAAATCTATTTTGTCATTTTATGACTAAAATAACCCCAATCTAACCCAAATTCACATGCCAAACAAGTACTTAGTAACATTTTTAAATTGATCTAACAGAAAATATATTTTGCCACTAGATACAAGTTTAATTACAAACATGAGAGGAATTATATCATTGTAGACAATTATACTGTTCAATAATACATAACTACTAGCCAAACAATCACCACAAAAAAGGGCCTATAACACATTATGATGATGTAAGTAACCCTCTATCACTGTTGGTTCATTTTTATTCCTATTGAATCGTTTCAAATCATAAATATTTATTTATAGCCCTCATGTTCTCTTAAAATAAAATATGGGTCAAGTATAAAATAATATCGAATAGTATTATGAAAATTATTTGAATATTTGGTGAAACTATTATGAGAATTGTACCAAATGTTTATTCTGAAAATATCGAATATTTTATTTAAAAGTTGTATATTGTTTGAATTCTGAACATCACTCTAGTCTGACTATGATTTGGACCCTAGCCAATGGGGGTTATTTATTAGTACAGAAACTAGTTTCTTTTGGGGTTTTTCCACCGGCCTATGTGTGGTTCTGAGTCTTGTCATGGGCTAAGTGACCGTAGTCACTGAGACTTGAGTTTTGTGAATCAAACCATTGAACCATCTGAATATCGAACCATCAATTTAAACAACGAATTTACTTTGAATTATCTTGTTACTTTTCAATTAAAATGTATTGTACATTGTTTAGTTTTAACTATGAAATCATCTTACAAATAAATGTTCATTTATTGAATTATAGCAAAAATTATATTTATTGGTTATCGACTATTTATGTATTTATTTTTTGTATACTTGATCCAACTAGCAGTGATGGTTGGTTATTTACTGGGCTGTCTAGCTTACCCTTATTTTTTTTTTTCCAGATTCTGAGAAATAGAGCTGCGCGGGGTTTTTTTTACTTATGGGAGTGCCGAGAGTAGGACTATGATTTAAATACTTGGATTATTGTTTTGTTAGTGGATTAAATTAGTGGATTTGGTGGACATTTTCATATAAAAATTATTTATTTTTATGGATTTCGGCATTATGACAATTAAGGATTTTATTTGAGTATTTTACATTGTGGGTTATGTGATTAGACTCTTAGCCTTACATGCTCACTTTTGTGAGTGTACGGCGTTATCACGAAACTTAGGGCGTGACAGCAGGATAAACTCTCATCTGTGAAGTCATTTTATTTTTTTATTTGTTGTGTTGATCGGCAATGCTGTTTTAATCTCTGGGTCTCAGATGTTCTCAGCAAGTTTTGCATTCTAACTTGCTTAGACATCCCTTCATGGTATTAGGCCTGTTTGGTTCAGTTTTTCTCAAGTTGAAAGTTGAGAATATAAAAGTACCAATTTCTTAACTTTCAGATAATTATTTTTTTTATGGATAAATTATAAATACACTCTTTGAGATTTGTTTAAAATATAAATTGCCTCTTGTAGTTTGAAAAATTACAAATATCTCCTTATTAAAAAAAATTAACAAAATTAATTAAAAAATAAAATTCATGATTACTCTCTTATACAATAATAAAATTACATAAATTATTAATTGAAACATATTTGTAACATTATTAAAAATTGTTAATTGATTTGATGGTTTACTAATAAAATGGGCGATTTGCTATGAAATTAAAAATCTCAAGAGGTGGAATGTAATTTTTAGAATTACAGGGGCGATTTGTATTTTAATCAAATCTCAGGGAGTGTATTTTTAATTTATCATTTTTTTAATAGATTATTTAAACTATTTTTGCATCATAAGCAATAAGCAGAAATTGTATCAAATATTTTACACATTTTTTAAATTTAAAAAGGTGTAAACAACTCTAATGAGTTGTAACAAATTGGGTCATTCAATCATGCTGGGACCCAGTGGGGAGGCGACCCCCAGCACCCCCCCCCACCTCCACGTGGGGGGCTCCAAGTGGTAGAAAAAAAAAGAAGTTATGGACCAATCAAAAAACAGTGGGGTGGTGGGAGTCACCTTCACTGGAGGTCTCATGCATTTTCCTTGTATCATTAACTTTTTAGCTTAGCATCAAATCTTAAAAACAAAGAGAGAAAAAAAAAAAAAAAACATTTTAGCTTAGAGAGAGAGAGAGAGAGAGAGAGATCACCATATAAATGAAGAAAAATGCTTGGGAGCACTAATTAGTGCTCCCACTAATTAGGTGGCAGTGGGTCCCGTCATTAATGATGTGATGTTTTGGTCTTGGAGTTGTATTTTTTTTATTTTTTTTTACTTTTTTAATGCATTAGTGCTATTAGTGGTGATATTTTTAGTGGGATGAATCATTGTTGATAAATGAAATGGTGTTAGAAAATTCCCCATTAGTGGTTTTTTTTATTTTATTTTATTTATTTTTAAAATGAAAAGGAAGAAATTGAAATTACGCGCCGAGGTGAAATGTGTTATATTATTTTTTCACATATTCACATAACCTTATGATTAAATTTCTCGTGTATTATTATTGGCAATGCTTCGACATCAATATCTGTAAATGAAAGAAGCCAATAATCTCAAATTAGTGAGAATGATATCATCGCAAATAAAATTTCGTAATGCACAGTAAATGAAAAAGACTGAATGACACACACACATATATATATGCCATGATTTAGGAAGTGAAATTTGTGGCTATGAAATCAAACTGATGTGATGATAATTGATATGCTAAATTTTGCTTTAGGATGAGCAGTGCATGCCAAGTCCACACATGCATGTGTGGGTATTCACATTTCTCGCTAAAGCAACTGTATCTGTGGCCATTGCTTAATTATGTGTTATTTTTCTATATCATCAACCATTTAATAGAGGGTGTGAGGCTAAGAGAAATAAGAGGTTATTTTTCTAGGTATATCTGTATTTATACACTTCTTGTTTTGATTTTCTCAGGACCCCCAAACAATTGAGATTGCAGGTTTGTAATTTTTTTTCTTTTCTTTCTTGTTAACAAAATTTGATAAAGTACTAGCGATTCATTGATAGTACAGTAAAACATATACATATATTGGATATATAGTGGCCTTAAATTTATTTAATTGCATTCATAGGCTCTTCTTTCATTATATTTTCACGGTCGAAAATGATTTCATCTTGATGGTATGTGTTATTTGGTTTGTACAGTTGTTATCAGAGAACATATAAAAAGAGTAAGAAAAGATGATACGTTGTCTTCTTTTCCTCTCTATTAATGACACTACCTCAACATTTGCTTACATGGGTTATGAAAAGAAATTGCATTTCCTATCAAGCCTTAGTTCTCACTTTCATTGTAATTTTTGTGCTTAGAGGAAACTCAAGATCCATTAAGCCGATACATTAAGGTATGGGAGAGACAGAAGACTCGGAGAAGAATGGCAGTGCAACCAAAGCCCAGAAGGAGGAAAAGCACGAAAAGAAAGAGAAAAAACATGCAGACATGGATGAGAAAGAAGGGAAAGGGGAAGAGAAAAGCAAAGATAAGAAGAAGAAAGACAAAGATGGTAAAGATAAGGAAGATGGTGGAAAGGAGAAGAAGAAGAAGGATCCTCAAGATACGACGGATCCAACGAAACTGAAGCAGAAGCTCCAAAAGATTGATGCCAAGATGCAAGAAATGGCGACAAAGAGAGAAGAAATCTTGAAACTTCTTAATGAAGCTGAGAAAAATGCCGCGAATCCAAGTTAAAAAAGCATTTTCTAAAAATGTGATTGGTTCCAAACTGTTTTTGAAAAATAAAATAAAATAAAATCTGAAAACAACCCACTTTGGAACTTCGTGAAAAATGATGTGCATTTTCGGATTTTCCATTGCTTTATTTTAGAAAATACGAAAAACAAAAAAGATACTAAGCAATTTCTATAATCTTCTCAAATGAGTGTAGGAGATTTATTGGAAGGTTTTTTTTTTTTTAATATATATATATTTTAGTGATTTAAAAGATTGATCATTGTACTATTTGTATTAGTAGGTTACTATTTTTTTGGGGGTGGGTGGGGAGGGGGAATTACTTGTCAGTGTTGTCTCCAAAACTTAATTACAAAAATCACGGACAAGATTATGATTTTACGTATTAATGTTTGTAAAGAATATCGTTTATTTAAAAATATTTTTTTACTCTTACACTACCAAGTAATCCCTTCACCACCCCTCCCTTTTTTTTTTGGTCACACAATTAAACTACCCATGAAAAAAAAATCCTCTTGTAAATGTACTTAGGTACTAAAACATGTTTGTAGTACCACGAGAAGCAAAAAGTGAAGTATATTAGTTTATGATTTATGAAGCTTAGTTTAAGGGGAAAAAAGAGTAAATTAATCATTGTATAAACTTTGTTCTACAAGAAGTTAATGGTTGGTCCAGGGCAGCTTCACGTAGCACTCCACATCTACTTTGATTGGTGGAGGGAGTGGGGCTCACAATTTTGTGTTGGGCGATTGAAAAATATGAGAGGTCATGAGAGTTTGTGATTGGCCTAAGGTATGGCCATGTTGTGCTCGAGGGCCAACCAATAATTTTTCCTGTTCTACATATTGCAATCATCATTTGTTGCAAAGGTTGTGGTGAAAATATGTACTAAAATCTGGTATGTGAATGAAGTATGAAATTGATGTTGAATTGTTTGCTATTGAGCCATAGGCAAAGATTTTCACACCTGCAGCAACTGCCTAACTCATAAATTAATTTATGATTAAGAACAAAATAAAAGTCACACATAAGGTGATAACAAATTCGGTGTTATATTAATACTATCATGAGATTAGAAAAGGGATGAACAAGATCATGAATTTCATATTGTTTGAACTTCTAACCTGGGGCACAAGTTTTTTAGGAATAGTTATTTTGAAAGATAACTAAGTAAGTTAAGAATAAATAGTGTAAACAAAACAAAACAACCGAGCTTAATAATAAAAGTATTGCCCTCACATCACATTCTAACAATGTTTTTGGAGCTCAAAGCGGAAATAGTTGTCTTGATGTTGTACTAGCCTATAACTCGAGCCCAATTTTCAATTTGTATTTTCAATAGTTGACCTGACTATAACCTAACTCTAATAGCAATTGTCACGGGCTGACTCTTTTGAGTATGCAGTGGGATTTATTTTTGCCTGTGAGGCGCTTGAACTTGCTCTACCAAGTTGAAGCCCACCTAATCTCTCCTTGATCATCGAGTGTAGAATCTTAACTTGTCTTGTCAAATGCAGGCCTAATGTCATGTCTAGCAAGAATAACTCTCATAAGGAAGCTCTAGCTTCCATGCCATAAGCAGACTAAACATCCACAAGTGCATCCCACACTGTTCATATCGCTTCATGGCAGCAAACTCGCCCTTGAGTAAGGCGCTTGCCCAATTGAGGCTTCATATTAGGCGTCCCGTGTCAATGTTGTCCACAATTGACCCAACACACTGTTGGTCAACTGTGCACCAACATAGAATCCTCAATTTAGCTGTTTGATGTTTTAAAAATTACATAAAATAGAACCATAAAAGGTCATCCAAAAAAAAGTAAATAAAATAAAAAAAAAGAGCAAAAAAACTGTAAAAAAGTTACAGACAAGCACCCTCTTGGTAGGTTTAGTAATCAGTAATTGCATTGTAGTGTATGATCTCTCTATTCTTCACTATCTTCAATTCCCATCTCTATAGACTATTAGTAAGTAGCTCAGTCTCTTTTATGGGACGTGAAGTCCAAATTGTTCTTGGAAGTTTCCATTGACGTTTGCTAGTGAGGAAGCTTCCTCTTTTGTTTCTACTTTCATTTCTAATACTTAAAACTAAACTAAAAGTTTAGACCTCCATTAACTTCAAAATAAAAAATGAGCAAGCATCCAGGTATCTACTATGACATTCGCAGAAAAGCCCGAGGTAATAAATATCATCTTTTGTTCTTCCACTTTTTTGTTTTTGGATTCTATTTGGTTACTGAGAAAACAAAGGAAAATAGAAGGAAACAAAACATTGGTAATAACTCATTCGTTTTCTAGGCCCTAAGTAGTGTTTACTCAGCAACCAAACGGAAGTCCTCTCTATTATAATCTAAGTAACCAAATGAAAGTGGAGGCTATGAACCTCTCTATCTCTCTCTGATAATTATTATTATAATTTGTTATTTTTTTTTGTCAGATCTTCTCTACAAGGATTATACTCAACAACCGCCAATTCAGTATAACTACAGATGTTTAAATTGGAGTTTTGATTTGTCCTGTCAAAGTAATCTCTTGTTAAAATTTTGCAGAGAATTACTTATTTGCAGTGAATTATTTGCTATCTTGGAATCATTATTTTTAAGTTCTTTGCCAAATGAAAATGGTGTCATAACACTCATAGTTTCATTAGAAAACAAATATTAATTCTTTTCTTTGCCAATAAATTCTCTTTCAAGAATTGCAATACCTTGATTTGAATTAATGATCATTGAAAAGCTAAAATAATTCACGAGCTTCCACAAAATGTTACAGACATCGAGGTTGTGAAAGGACTCAGGACAGCTTCTAGGTTCATTACACCGTTTCAAAACAAGGTGAGAAAATTCTAAAAATCTCTCACCACTTGAATTGTCTTGATTTTCTCAACATAGAGAGATCTTAAATCAGTTTTTGCATCATGTTAACATGAGAGTTTATAATAATGTACCAATGATTATGATAACAGGTGGAACTTCAATACTTGCATGACCATGCTAGGATTACCGCAGGCATCAATTTGGCAGCAAACACGCCGTTAAATTTCTCAGGTGTAGTAGGAAACAGTTTTTTCTCCATTGGGACCGACCTGTCTTTTGATATGGTGAAGAAGAAATTTGAGAAATGGGACGCGGGATTGAGCTTCAACACTGCCATCCTCATTGCTTCCTTGACCTTGTAATTCCTTCCACACCCTGCTGCTCCTGTTGTCTTTAGGCACTTACTTTACAAGCTTATCAAAATTAGAAAGAACATTGTAATTCATCAAGAAATTAATGTTCTTTAAAAAATTCCGAACCATCAAATTTAATCAAACGTTTGATAAAACAAGACTCACTTGAGACTTTCAAGGAGGATTAATTTCACTTTATCCCCTAAACTGTTGTCCTTTTTTCTTTTTTTCTTTTTTAAAACCTATCAATTCATATATAGCCTTTAGAGTTTCTGATTTCAGCTCATGTGGTCCAATTGAATATGATTGTCCAAATAACTGTTGAAGTCTAATTTGATATGAAAAAATGTCATTTTAGAATTTAACAACTCAAATGAGAAAAGGAAAAGGAAAAGGAAAAGGAAAAGGATGGAGAAGAAAAATGAATTTTTGGTTGTGGGGTGTACGTTATCTATAAATATAGTGTGAGCTAGAAAATGGATGTTTGATTATATGATTCAAATTATAAATATAGTGTGAGCCAGAAAATGTACGTTATCTATGAATTTCACGGTTGTTGACTAGAATTGGCGTCTAAAAATTTTAAGTCCTAAACACATGAAATTGATAGTTTAGAAATAAAATAGAAAAAATTTATAATTATTTGGGAATAAAAGTGAAATTAGCCCTTTCAGAAATTCTAGATTGGGGAAATTATTTACCAAAAGGTGGGGGTGCAAGTTTTGTTGTGGTTTCTTTGCACATAAAAGTTGACCCCCCATGTAATTATTTTTGGTCTTCTACATTGATTTGTAATTTTCCCTTCTCTAATTCACTAACAAATTGTGAGAGGTCATTTGAGAAGTAACATTTTGATTTTTTTTCTAAAATATGAAGCAGTCAAATCACAGGGCTCAACCCTAGATAGGCAGTGGAAAAAACTTACAAAATGTGATAGAATGGAAATCAATTTTTAGCCTTTTTATATGACTTTTTGAATTTTTAATTATTTTGACTTATTGTCAAACTCCCGTGTTGACAAATAATGCAGGGATGATATGGGTGACACTTTGAGTGGATCATGCTACTATACAGTGAGTCCCCAAACCAACACAGCCTTTGGGACAGAGCTTAGTCACAAGTTCATGAGCAATGAGACAACTTTCACCTTAGCCACTCAGCATTCACTGTTCCCAATCACATTAGTGAAAACTAGAGTAAGTAGCAATGGCAAAGTAGGAGCCCTCATTCAGCAGCAGTTGTTTCCATCTCTCTTCTTGTTCACTATAGCTGGAGATGTTGATGTCAGGGATGTGAGTAGGACTGCTAAGCTTGGCCTTTCTTTGGCTGTTAAGCCTTTGGATCAAAACAAATAAAAGTACCTATCTCAATATGGATGATAAAGAAGACTCAAGATTGACATAGTATCTGGGTTTAAGTCTTACCGCTGCCCTATGCAATTTTCTCTTCTTATTCCATTCTTATAGATTGTTTTTTTTATTGGCGTTGGCTTCTGTCCAGTCCTTAATCGGATTGGATCATGCTGTTGGGCCCGTGGAAGTCCACCACGGGTCCTGTTTTGATAATCTGAACCGTCAATGTATAGAACTCGTCGAGTACTATAAGTCTATAAAAAAATCACGTTAATCGGATATCGATAACTATGTGATCAAATCAGATTTTTGTCAACCGTTAATTTATTCACCGTCTATTTTTTTTTTTTATACAAAACTGATTTGATCACATAGCTACTAATATCTGATTAACGTGATTTTTCATAGGCTTATAGTACTCGACGAGTTCTACACATTCAACGATTCAGATTATCAAAACGGGACCCCTGGTGGGCCTGCATGGACCTAACAACACTGCATGAACCCAACAGCACGGTCCAGTCTGAATAAGGACCGGACAGAAGCCAAGCCCTTTTTTATTATACATACATAATGTATAGTTGGAAGAAAAGTCATAGTATGAGTTAATAGTGGCCAGTTTTGGGTGGCAAGTTTTGCTTAGCCTTAAATAGTGTCAATTAGTATGAGAAATGTATGGTTTTGCACTTCTAAAATGGGTATATTGTAAGAACATTACGTTATTTTATTATTATGTTGTTTTGTGAGATTAGTAGTTATTTTACTTTGTGATAGAAGTTACGAATGAATAAATTTATAATGTGATAATCTGTATTCTTGAAGTGAAAGTTATGAATTATTATAATTATATAATGCACGTTATGATAAGAAAAATTACGTATTGTGATATGTGTTATATATGTCGATTTAAATATATGATTCATCAATTTAAATTTTTATATAGATAATTTATTTAAAAAGTACTAAAATTTCAAATGCCTTTAATCACCAGACGAATTGAAATACAAAATTAGATCCTTCAATATTGGAGAGAAGTCTACCCCTATTTAAAAAAATAAAAATAAAATAATAATAATTAAAAATGAATTGTATGACTAGAACTCAAGAACTTGTTTTCAAACTTAAATGAGAAAAGCTATTCAAAGATTTTTTTTTTTTTTTCTCTCTTTTGAGGACCAAAAAGAAAGATGCTTTACAATATCAATACAGAAAACTTGCTTATACATATACATCATATATATAATATGGATCCAGTCAATCCGCCTCTTGTAACCCACCCAAAACAACCGACCCAACAAACAACCCGACCGCCCCGACAGCAAGCGCACCCCCAACCACAACCTGCACCGCTACCAGACCCGCCGAGTCATCGGGTATCAAAACGATCGCCAGAATCGCCGCCACCAAAATCGGAAGCGACGCCGAAGCCAGCGCCGACGGCGAGAAGCTAGCCGCCTTCTCGAGCAAGCTGAGCAAGCCGAGCTCCTCGGCCTTGGAAAACACGCCGAGTTTCTCGATGGATGAGAGAGTGAAACCCAATTCCTCTGCTTTGGACAAGAGACCAGATTTCTCTACGTTGCTCAGAACCTTTCGTTTCTCGATCGTCTTGAACACGTCGACCTCGACATCTTCACTTCCTTCGTAAAATATTCCGGCGCCGAACCATTCCTTTTTCCACCCGTCGTCGTACTTGTTCACCTGCATTGTTCATTAGTTTGGTATCAAATGAAAAAAAGTTATAATAGAGTGAGTGTTTATCTTTTCATTAACTTTGTAAAAGACTATTGGGCTCCACCAAGGATCCTCTAGAGTGAAATTTTCCTAAAATTTCCTAGAGTGCTATATTGTGTGGTTGAGATTTACTGGCAAGTCACATCAATCATAGGGAAAGGAAAATGTTCAAGATTGTTCAAAAAAAAAAAATTTGTTACACACTCCGGAGACCTGTCTATCACCTTGCCACATCATTATGAAATTAGATTACATTAATATGAGTGAATTTTTAAATCTAAAAAAGTAAGTCTTTAAGACCATCTCCAACCCAATACCTTTTATTCAATCAAATTTGAATTTGATAAAAAAATACATTTTTGTTGCTTCAATGGTTTTATCAAACCAATATCAAATCCAGGATATGTTACAGTTTTCATTAAATTGAGGATGGCTATAATTTTCACCAATTTACTGTTTAGAACCATTGGAGTTGAAGGTAATACAACATCACCGGACAATTGGCCGGATGTCCGGCCAGATGTCCCCCAAAAGACCATTTGGGTGAAAAATTACCCACAACATATTATAGATTTTTGTGAAAATTACATTGGTCGGACGTTTGGCCGGATGTCCTCCCAATCGACCGGTGATTTGATAACTTTTCGTTAGATCGTGCGATATCAGATGTAGTTTTTACTCAATTTTTTACTCAAATTTATTGAAAAAAAAGGTTAAACGTTGGATATGCCCCAAGCAGCTCTCAAGATGAAAATCCAGATGCACCGTTTGGATGCTTTCAAAATGTGCAGTAAGGACATGTACGAGAAAGAGATAAACTTTCTCGTATAATCCTATTGATCAAGTCCGCATTCCTCCAAACGTCGTCGCTTTACTCCCTGAAAACACAAACGTGAGCTAGCCAATAGGTGTGTGCCGAAAACCCCTCCGATGCCTAAGTCAACAAAATAGACAAGTAGACAAAAGCTCTGTGTATTCAGGAATCAAAGTTGTGTTACCTCTCCATAGGTGATGTTTGAGAGCTTTTATAGATTCCGTGTGGCACAATCCAAGTAGGAATCTACTCCTCCATGCAGAGTCCTCATAGGATTCATACTCCTGAAAGATAATGCTTATCCTTCAATACCCTCCTCACTGCTTGAACCAAGTGAAATGGTTTTACCATGGTCAGACTTCTATGGGATCGAAATACCATTGCCTTACTAGATATGCAGGTATGACAGATCTAACTTTCAGTCCGGTTCTTCTTTTCCTTGCTTCTTCCTCGGCTTCGCATGCGCAGACCGAGCTATCCATAGAAGTGTCAAACCGAACTAATCACAGAAGAATCTTGAAGAAGGCTTATCATACTTCGGTTTAGAAGATACGACCAAGCTAACCGTAATATGCTGCGGCCAGACTACCTCCGAAGGTGGTGACCCAGCGACCGAACTGCCGCACTCCCACGGACCGAGATAACAATGCACTTCCGGGACCGGTCTTAACTTTAAGTCCTGCTTGGACCGGACTGGATTTGAGGCCTTTTTACTCAACCCTTCGTACTGTGGCCCATAACGGCCCATTGTCCAGCTCGGCCCAATATTCATATAAATTACCCTCTCAATTGCCCCTTAATTCCATCTGCGTAGCATGATAGGGATTACTTGTTTTATCAGCCGAGTTAAGGTTTTTAAGCCTTTTAACCAAACTAAAAAACCCTTTAGCTTTTCCAGTCGAACTAAAACCTTTTAGCCTTCCCAGCCAAGCTAATTCCACACCGGGCTCTCATTGTCTGGTCAAAACGTCTCTTTAACCATAGCAACTGAATCGCTTCTTATTTCCATGACACGTGGCATACGCTGATTGGCCCAATGTAGCTGTCACGCCGTCTTCGTACTCTATGTTTTTTGAACAGTCCCGCTCTTTTTTGTCCTTCTTTCTACACAAAACAGAAGCCCTAGCAATTTTGAATTTCATCATTTCACTATTCACCTTTTCTTTCTTCCCTGCTTCTCAAACTTGCAACCGCAGAGCTCGTGAATCTTTCCAGCGCCCATTTCAACGTCCAATTCCTTCTTCTCCATCTGGTAAGCTTCAGAAATCTGTTCTATTTTTCTCGTTTTCGTACTTGTTTAATCCATAATATTTTGTGTTATGTGTTTTTGCAAAACACGTTTTTTACTTCTATTTGCTGCCTTGTCTTGCATCTTTTGCAAAAACTTAGTAATAGAGCCCCTCTGATTCAAGAAATAACATGAAAAACACTAGTTTTGATCTAAAATCACAATATAACCAAACTAGGAAGTTGTTTGTAGTGGATGTCAGTCTAGCCGGACCAACTAACCGAGCTAACTCTTCATTGTTAGTACTTGTAGTTCTAACAAGTCAAGCCTTTGAAAACCTTAACTATGCCCGAGCTGAATCTAGGGGCTAAACCGGCCTTCCAAGTTCAGACCGAACTAAGAAAGCTACCCCTTAAGGCTCAACCGGGCTATCAAATGCCTTGCTGAAACCGAGCTAACAGACCCCTTGCTGAAACCGAGCTAACACCCGCAGTTCTTCACATAACCGAGATAGGACTTCATTTATTTTACCTTTATTGCTTTTTAGCATGGTCCATCGATCTGTGCATAACCCCTTTCTTTTTCACTTTGCAGACTTAGGTTACCAGGCACTCCTTCGCACGCTCAACTGAGCTACTCAGCGTCATTTTTTAACCGAGCTATCACAGTTAAATTATACATAACTTAAGGGTAAATGGGTAAATATAGGTTTTTAGTAGAAACACCTGGTGGCTTGGCCGAATTCCGAAGGGAGTATAACATTCCTGACGACGTCCATCTCACCTTAGCCGAACAAGATATCATACCTTGGGGAAACCTTGGTTTTGTTCCCTTCACGCTGCTTTCCATTGTAGAAACCGGCCTAAGATTCCCTGTACAGCCTTTACTTTGTGAATTCTTTAGGCAAACTAGGATATGCCCAACTCAGCTTTCCACAAACTCATACCACATAATAAATGGTATAGCCGAGCTAAACCGCCATTCTGGTATTAACCTCGGCTTAGCCGAACTCTTTCACCAATATTCTATCGGCTCAAAAGAAGATGGGAGGGTTTATTATTTAAGAATACGACGTCGGCGTGAGAAAATAATAAAGGACACACTGGACAAAGACTTAAACGATGACGATTTTTTCTGGGTATCTGGCAATTTCGAAGACCACCAAGCCCAGATCCCAGGCCACAGTATAAACTGGAAGAAAGGAACCCCCGGTATAATTACCTCGGCTTCTTTGCGTGCCTCCATTTATTTCGATTTCCTGTTTCTGAACCGAACTGACAGTTGTCTTCTTTATGCAGATTCAGCCCATCTCAAGTCACTGTACAACTATCCCAATCTAAACACACTTCGCGCCGCACTTCGATATTCTGAAAGAAGTTGGGCTAGGCTGTTGAATTTTGAACTGACGTACAGATACAGCAGTCGACGAAAAGCCAGAGTAACAGATTTTTTGCTAGAGGCCTCTCTTGAACCGGACTCGACCTTGCCACAAATCATCCTAGTCCGTACTACTGCTGAAGAAGAAATGGCGAAGAGGAACAAAGTGAGGGCCCTCCTAACTGAAACACATCCAGCCGAAGTACCACCAACCACCCAGACTCAAGAGACCGTGGTGGCTCTTCCATCTCAACAACCCTCTTCATCACGCCCAAGCAAGCGCGCCCGGACTACCCGAACCGAGCAACGCCTTGCTGATGAAGATGAAGTCAGTCTTCCACAAAGCCCTCCACCAAGTCCATAACCGGAGTGTGCCAACCGAGCTAGCTCCTCCAAATGGTCTCCAAAAATGACTTTCCAAAACCGTGCTATTTGTGATACTGACTCTGTGGTGGCTGACAAAGACCATATGCTGGCCTTCAACCTGGCTAAGAGCGTATGTCTGCCCCCTGACATGGAGCATCACAAGCAGTTGACCGAGCTCAAGGCCATCCGGTCGGCAACAAAATCAATGATCCTAGTCAGTAGCTCCTCTTGTCTCTCTAATTTTTCCAACTTTCCGTTCGGTTTTGTCATTAGTTTCTTTGTATTCTTTTTCAGGCCATACAAAAGAGTCAAATTGCGCACAAGCGTGTGTTGGAGCTTCGCAAAATAGCTAGGCAAGCCATGGCCGAAGCTGAAGAAAAAACCACCAAACTAAAAGAATCCAAACAGAAGACAGCCGAGCTAAAGGCCGAGGTAGCTCGTCTGACCGGACTAGTTACCTCGGCTAATGCTGAAAAACAGAAGGCACTGACCGTGATGAAGGACAAGTACCTTCGCGAGCTAGTCAAGCTCGAAGGAAAGAAAAATGCAGAGATAGCTGAGCTAACTAAGAAGGTGAATGATGCAAATGCTGAAGGCTTCAAGGAAGGGGAGACCCTCTACATGCAACAATGTGAGGCCGCTAAAGATCTTTTCTTTAAATGCGATTGGAGGGCAGTCGTGGTGCAGCTCGGTTGTGAACCTGAGACCGAGGTCTACAATCCTCCTTAGTACTTCATACCGAGCTCACTGGCGGAGTACGCTGCATCCGTTCAACAACAGTTTCTACAAGGTTCAGATGATGATGAAGACACCGAGACCAATAATACCCCGGTCGTCAATGATCAAGCCAACGATCAATTAGCTCTGTTGGAGCCAACAGTTGAAGACCTGACGACTGAAATCGTGCTTCCAATAGACGCCGAGCTCCCAACCAAGACCAATCTACCGTCTGAAGCCGGTCTTCGTGTTGACATTGATACTGATCTTGATGATCTGTTCAACTGATTCTGTACTTTCTTTTCTTGTTGCTTGTTTTTTTTTTTTTCTTTCTTCTTTTGGTCTTGTAACCAGGCTGAGGCCCCTCCTTTGTATTTACTTTGAATTTGATCAATGAAATCATCTTTTGTATTCAACACTTATTACGATTTGATCTGTATGCTTGCACTTGTAATGAGTTTTTCAATGAATTCTTTTGCTCCAACTATTATCTTGGTTTACTTTCCTGTTTGTGCTTTGCTTTCTAACTGCAACTTGAACGAAACACAATATTTTTTGGCCGAGATACTTTATTCCGGTCTTAGCTGAGCAATCTGACTGAGCATACTAGCCAACCACTCTTTAGCCGATATACTTACTTCGGCTGAAGAGTACCAAGAGTTGGTTTAATCCAGTCAACCACTCTTCAGCCTATACCCTTGCTTCGGCTGAAGAGTAATAAGGGTTTAATCCAGCCAACCTCTAAGTTGGTTTTTTCCAGCCAACCACTCTTTAGCCGATGTCCTTACTTCGGCTAAAGAGTATTAAGAGTTGGTTTAATCCAGCCAACCACTCTTTAGCCGATGTCCTTACTTCGGCTAAAGAGTACTAAAAGTTGGTTTAATCCAGCCAACCACTCTTTAGCCGATGTCCTTACTTCGGCTAAAGAGTACTAGGAGTTGGTTTGGTCTAGCCAACCACTCTTTAGCCGATGTCCTTTACTTCGACTAAAGAGTACTAAGAGTTGGTTTAGTCCAGCCAACCACTCTTTAGCCGATGTCCTTTACTTCGGCTAAAGAGTACAAGAGTTGGTTTAATCCAGCCAACCTCTAAATTGGTTATTCCTGCCAGGTTAGAATAAAATATTTGGTTATTCCGACCAAACGTCCTGCAGCTTGGATCCTTATCCTGGGTTTAGGAGGGGTGTTGGTTTTTCCAGCCAACCTCTAGATTGGTTTTTCCAGCCAATCTAGAGTAAAGTGTTTGGTTGTTCTGACCAAACGTCCTGCAGCCTGGATCCTTATCCTGGGCTTAGGAGGGGTGTTGGTTTTTCCAGCCAACCTCTAGATTGGTTTTTCCTACCAATCCTAGAGTAAAGTGTTTGGTTGTTCCGACCAAACGTCCTGCAGCCTGAATCCTTATCCTAGGCTTAGGAAGGGTGTTGGTTATTCCGGCCAACCTTGCTTTTGATGTCCCTAACTTACTAATACAATCTCTTACAAAAAACAACTATGCTGAAAAGATTTGACTTTGTTTTATTGAGAAAAAGGAAAATTACACATACTCGTAAAAAAAAAAAAACTAAAAATAAAATAGTTTGAGATTGGCAGTATTCCATGGCCTAGGAATGGCTTTGCCGTCCTCATCTTCCAGGTAGTATGCCCCTTTGCCAGCTAATCTGACCACTTTGTAAGGTTCTTCCCAATTAGGCCCTAACTTGCCATTTCCTGGTACTAAGGTGTTTCCCATCACTTTGCGCAGCACCCAATCTCCGATCTTGAATTGTCTTGGATGCACTGTTTTGTTGTATTTCCTGGATAACTCTTGTTGGTATGAGGCAATGTGAACCAGTGCTATTTCTCTTCTTTCTTTGGCGAGGTCGAGCTCCAATGCTATGGCTTCTCTATTCAAGTCTGGATCAAAATTTTCACTTCTAATTGTAGGGAGGCCAACTTCTAGTGGGATTACTGCTTCCATGCCGTAGGCTAAGGAGAATGGTATTTCTCCCGTTGATCGTCGAGGTGTGGTACGGTAAGCCCATAAAACATGAGGAAGTTCCTCCGCCCACTTACCTTTTGCCTTCTCTAACTTTTCTTCAGTCCATCCAAGACAACCTTGTTTGATGCTTCTGCTTGGCCATTTGCTTGAGGATATGTCGGTGTAGAATTGTAGAACTCTATCTTTTATTATTCACAAAAGCTTCTAAAGATTCTACCGTCGAACTGAGTGCCATTGTCTGATATTAGGGTTTTAGGTATGCCGAACCAAGTGACGATATTCTGCCAGACAAACTTCTTCACATCTTTTTCCTTGATTGATGTTAATGTTTCTGCTTCCACCCACTTTGTGAAGTAGTTTGTTGCTGCAAGAAAGAACTTCCTGTTACCGGATGCCGTTGGAAGTGGTCCTACTATGTCCAAGCCCCACATTGTGAAAGGCCATGGGCTAGTCAATGGTAGGAGTTCTCTGGCCGGCTGATGTATTTAGTGTGCGAACTTCTGGCATTTATTGCACTTCTTCACATATTTCTCTGAGTCTGCTTGCATGTATGGCCACCAGTATCCTTGTGAAATGGCTCTGTAGGCTAATGATCTTCCACCTTGGTGGCTTCTGCACACTCCTTCGTGTATTTCGAACTAGAAGGCTTCCACTTTGCTGGGGTGGACACACTTTAAATAAGGTCCAGAGAATGACTTTTTGTACAATGCCATAGATGGAGAGAACCAAAATCGCTGTGACTTTGCTCTAATTTTGTTGGCTTCTTTCTTGTCTTTCGGTAAGACGCCGTCTTTTAAGAATAGTATGATGGGATCCATCCATGAGGGGCCTAATTCGGCACAACATACCTCTTCTACTTCGGGGTCTTCAATGCTTGGTCTCGGTAGGTAGTCAATTAGTAATGGGTGAGGGATGGATGTATCTGCCATTGACGCAAAGCCTGCTAGTTCGTCTGCTCTACTGTTTTCCTTCCTGCCAATCTGTCCTATCCTTACTACTTCAAATTTCTTGATCTCTGTTTTGACCAATTCTTGGTACTTGGCCATCCTGTCATCCTTTGCTTCATAGTCGCCAGAAATTTGGTTTACCACCAGCTGTGAGTCGCTGTAGACCATTAATTCGGTGGCCTTCATGTAAAATGCTGATTTGAGTCCTGCAAGAAGTGCTTCATACTCCGCTTCGTTGTTTGATGCTGGGAAGCCAAGGTTGATTGCTTGCTTCACAACCAGGCTGTCTGGTAAGATGAGGACTATGCCAAGTCCTGCACCATGTCGGTTGGATGCTCCGTCCACGAAGAGCTTCCACATCTCTCCAACGAACAACTTCCAGCAAGTGGAGGGGTCAGATGATGTCGTGGGGTCAAGAATGTTGATGGTGTTTTCTTCAAGGTCCATGCTTACTGTCTGCCCCTTGCTATCTGCCTGTACCAAATCTTCATTTGTTGGTGAGTCTTGGTTGGGTGTAGCATGGTTCGCTTTTTCATTGCTCTCATTATTCTGGTCTGCCTTGGGGTCCGACTGAGTATCCTGCACTAGGGGTTGCGCTATTCCGGCGTCAACTTCCACCCTTAGTTTGGTTGTGTCAGTCAGGTCGATTGGGCAGATATGATGACTTTCCGGGGTAAATTCTGCGACAAAGTCTGCCAAAGCTTGGGCCTTTATCGCGGTTCTGGGTTAGAACTTAATGTCGAATTGTCCAAACTCTACTGCCCACTTCAAAATTCGCCCAGAAAAGTTCGCCTTCTCAAACAAAGCTTTTAATGGAAAAGCCGTGAGGACGACTATGGTGTGGGCGTGAAAGTAGTGCCACAATTTTGTTGAGGCCATCATTAAGGCCAATGCCAGTTTTTCCAGTGGCAAGTACCTCGTTTCGGCGCCCAGCAATGTCTTGCTGACATAATAGATGGGCAGATGTTGGATTCCTTCCGCACGGACCAATACTACGCTAATTGCGTGCTGAGAGACTGCCAGGCACAAGAAGAGTTCTTCTCCAGGTATTGGGGTGACAAGCAGTGGTGGAGAAGACATGTATTCTTTCAAGTTTTCCAGTGCGCGGTCGCATACTTCGTCCCACTCGAACTTGGCTTTTAATGCTTGAAAAAATGGTCGTAGTCTATCTGACGACCGGTTAATGAATCTGTTGAGTGCAATTGCCATACTGGTGAGATGCTGTACCTCTTTCACTGAGTTAGGCCTCTTCAGATCCTGAATAGCTTTGATCTGGGAGGGGTCTGCCTCTATACCCCGGTTGGTTACCAGGAAGCCTAGAAATTTGCTAGATCCTACACCGAACACGCATTTAGATGCATTAAAGCGCAACTTGTGTTTCTTTAGAACCTGGAACATCTCACCTAGGTCCCTTAGATGGTCATTCTTGTCCTTGCTTTTGACCACCATCTCGTCGATGTAAGCTTCCATTGTTTTGCCTAACAATGGTTCAAACATCTTGGTGACCATCCGTTGGAATGTTGCCCCTGCATTCTTTAGGCCAAAGGGCATGATCTTGTAGCAATACAGTCCTCTTAGAGTTGTAAAGGACGTGACCTCCTGGTCTGGTTCGTACATGGCGATCTGATGGTAACCTCTGTATGCATCCAGAAAGCTAAGCCGGTTGTGCCCCGCCGTTAGGTCTACCAATTGATCTATCCGTGGTAGGGGGAACTGTCCTTTGGGCATGCTTTGTTAACTGTCTTGTAGTCGACGCAGACGCGCCATTTGCCATTGTTTTTTGGTACCACGACTGTGTTGGAAATCCATCTGGGGTAGT